TGTAAGACTTCCGGAAATAGAAATGGGTTGCAGATTCATATTTTTCCAGATAAGAAGCGAGAAACGCTTTGCTGTGTACACTTCCAAAAAGTTCCAGAAATGAATTCAATGATCACTTACATCTGACTCTTATTGACCGAGGTTGTCAATTTAATCTTATGTTAATTTTTACAGGTAATATTTCTTTAAAAGTACAATTTTGTTTGTAGGGAGGACTCGACCGAAAAACCAGTACACTGGAGTAAACTAACTGGAGCTGCTAGAAGAGTGGCTAGTAAAGAATCCAGAAAGCATGATACCAGTAAAGATCATAGAACAATATTTATTGGCAATTTACCATTATCATTAGCTCATAAAACAGTAAGTAAATATTCCTGAATTCCCTTTTCTGAATGTTACATCACCGAAAGGCCTCTTGAACAAAAATTACATATTTTGCTATAATAATCAACAATAAATTACATGTTGTTTAAGATAGCATAGTAGAGGTAAAAGCTGTATGATCTAATTTAAGAAGTGTCTTTTTCTTCTGTTATTATTTGTAAATCCACCCAGACTCCTTTGCCAAATTTGAACTTGTCTTGCGCTATGACCTGGCTTGTATTGCTCTTATGCAGTCAATTGGGTTTAAAAAGATAAGTAACAAAGAAGTACTAGGAATTTGGTTTGGAACCAATGCTTATTAAAATCTGTGGTATCTTTTTAGAAATTAAAGAAGTTATTTGGTAAATATGGTGCTGTAGAGAGTTTACGGTTTAGATGTCCAGTAAGTATATAGAACTAATTTTACAAAAATAACAAATATTATTTTCTAAAAAAAACTTTAAGATTTTAGTGTTCCAGTTATAAGCTAAATTTACTTTTTTATTAGATGTATTTCTTAAATCTTTCAAAGATGTTCTGTATATTTTCAGCCTACTAAAGATTTGACAACTTCTAAACGTGTTGCCGTCATAAAGTAAGTTTTTCTTTTCTTCATTGATTACTCTTTTCCACCAGCCACGTAACTACGATGTTTAGTGGGTGACGTAGTCGTTACTAAGTAATATCAAATAACCTTAAAGTCATACGCTGTAAGAAACATCATTTGATTCCCGCTCAGTATTGCAACAGAAATTTTTTAAATATTAGAATAAAATACACGAACCCACTTTGAATTTGCTTTCAATGGCAGACATTTTGCAGTAAGTAGTACCAAATAACAATAGCCAGTGCTTTCATATAGAAATATTTCTTTTGTAGAAAAGAGTTCCACCCTGAGCGAGATAATATGATAGCTTATGTTTGTTATAAAGAAGAGTTTTCAGCAGAAAAAGCACTTTTTATGTAAGTTTTGTATACCATATACTTATACGAAAAGATTTAAATTGCTTGATTTGAATAAATGAAATTATTTAGTTTTTATTAATATATCCCAATTTCAGATAGCTAACATCTTTTCAACCAGTACACTGGTATCCAGAAATGAAACAAGTATAAATATTGGTTTTTTTTCTGATTTAAAATTTAAAGGTTCTCCTAATCTGTATATTTTATGTTGTAAAAGGAATGGTAAAGAAATTGATGGACATCATTTACGCGTTGATATTTCAACAGCCAATCCAAAGGTGGGTAGAAACTTTTACTGGAGTTACAGTTATTGACCAAATACCTTGGAAACTATGCTAGTGCTTGATTGGCTAGTTCTGCTTGTAGGAATTCCACACAGTTTGATTGACACCTGGAACAGACATAACCTGTTGTTAACTCCCCCAGTTAAGCCCCACCCAAGGAGGAATGAAGTCACTTTGATTGATCAGATTAACTTTTAGATAGAAGTCCTGGATCTACAGATATGCAAATGAACAATTTGAACACAATGGCAGTTGATATTTTGATATTATCAAAGAGTTTTATAAATTCTGAATCACTGACTTCTAAGATAAACCAAAGCCTGAAGCACAGTGTAAGCTTTAATCTCTTATTTATTGATAAATATATGTTACATTTATAGGCCAACCATAACAAGTCAATTTTTGTTGGAAATCTACCATTTGGTAAGTAAAAAAGATATTTGGGGTTTGATTCAAAACGT